AGATGTGGTATATATATACAATGGAATATTATGCAGCCATCAAAAGGAATGCGATCTTGCCATTTGCAATGACGTGGATGGAACTGGAGGGTATTATGTTGAGCGAAATAAGTCAAACAGAGAAAGACATGTATCATATGATCTCACTGATATGAGGAATTCTTAATCACAGGAAACAAACTGAGGGTTGCTGGAGTGGGGGGTGGGGTGGGAGGGATGGGGTGACTGGGTGATAGACACTGGGGAGGGTATGTGCTCTGGTAAGTGCTGTGAATTGTGCAAGACTGTTGAATCTCAGATCTGTAGCTCTGAAACAAATAATGCAATATATGTTAAGAAAAAAAAAAAGAAGAAGAAGAAGAAGAAGGTAGCAGGAGGGGAAGAATGAAGCGGGGGAAATCGGAGGGGTAGACGAACCATGAGAGACGATGGACTCTGAGAAACAAACTGAGGGTTCTGGAGGGGAGGGGGGTGGGAGGATGGGTTAGCCTGGTGGTGGGTATTGAGGAGGGCACATTCTGCATGGAGCACTGGGTGTTATGCACAAACAATGAATCATGGAACACTACATCTAAAACTAATGATGTAATGTATGGGGATTAACATAAGAATAATAAAAAAAAAAGAATCTGTAATCTTTCTGGGCCTCCAGTGTTCTCATTCAGGTAACAAATATTTACAGGACACCTGCTACCAACCAGAATGTAGACTGAGGTTTATGGGGTCAAAGAACAGAACATTGTCCTTAGTCTCAAGGAGAATCTCAGTCATCCCAGAAAAGAGAAGAGACTAGATGCTCTCTGAGGTCTCATTCAGCTTTAACAGTTTATGAATCCAGGAGTCTAAATAGAATTTAATGCTTACTACCTTTTAGGTGTGTGTGTGTAAGGTTCCCTGAGCTCATAAATTCTGTTAGATTTCAGAAAACAATTATTTGAAGTTAGATCACTGAAAAGGTTTCTCCAAAACAGTAAAAGAAATCATAATCTTACCTCAATTCAAAGCATCTCTGTGAAACTTTCCTTTTTTCCAAACTAAGGTATAAGTATTGCTATCACTTTCAATTCCATTTAATTTTAATTAAGTGCTCCCTCCCCCTAAAAAGTCACTGAGCACCTACAGGCCCTCTCTTTTCTTGGTAGTAATTACTTATTTTATAATACCAGTGCTGCTGGTGTATTATCTTTACATATATAGAGGCAATTTTAAATGAGTATATTTTAAGACAAATTTGAGGTTTTTAAACCTAAGAGAAGTGGGGCGCCTGGGTGGCTCAGTCGGTTAGGCAGATTGGTTAAGCATCTGCCTTCGGCTCAGGTCATGATCCCATGGTCCAGGGATTAAGGCCCACGTGGGGCTCCCTGCTCAGTGGGGGATTCTGCTTCTCCCTCTCCCTCTGCCACTCCCACCACCCCCCTCCCCCCACCACCCCTTCCCCCCACCATGCCCCTCCCCGCAATGCTCTCTCTCTTGCACTCTCTTTCCTCAAATAAATAAAAAAATTCTTTAAAAAATAAAAAAATTTAAAAATTAAGAGAAAAAAATAAAAAAAATAAAAAAAATTAAGACAAGTAATTTTAAAAGAGTAAGGAAGAGAGAAAATCAAAGAATAAGGAAGTTAAGGTAAGAAGCAAAATGTAATTACGGTAGACAGGATCAGGGAAAAAAAGTTAAAAGACAATGCAAAAACAAAATTTTTGTTATTTATTTATTTATTTTAAAGATTTTATTTGACAGAGAGAGACACAGCGAGAGAGGGAACACAAGCAGGGGGAGTGGGAGAGGGAGAAGCAGGCTTCCCACCAAGCAGGGAGCCCGATCCCAAGATCCTAGGATCATAACCTGAGCTGAAGGCAGACGCATAACGACTGAGCCACCCAGGCGCCCCAAAACAAAACAATTTTTAAAGGAAAGGAGAGCAATGGGGTAGGAAAACAGCAGGGAGGAGAGTGAGACACATCCTTTTTCCATCTGTAAGCTTCACTTTGTTTTATTCCCACCCCACATCCCCCCAACAGCTGATACCCCCCTAGTCACAGTGCCCCATAGCTTCTTTTTGAATTGTGCTAAAGACAACAAAGTACCAGGGTCAATGGGCCTCTGATGCCCCCCTGCAGGTCCTCAAGGCAACTTGCTCTCCCTTTTTTAAAATATGACTTAACAGATTATAATTAACCTGTATATATAAACCCGGGTCCAACAAGATAGAGCAAATACAGGTTTCAACAGTGTATGTTTCTGGGAATGACATCAAGATTATGCTCTGGGGGCACCTGTGTGGCTCAATTGGATAAGCATCCGACTCTTGATTTTGGCTCAGGTCATGATCTCAGGGTCCTGCAGGGGATAGTCAGCTTGGGATTCTCTCTCTCCTTCTGCCTCTGTGACATCCCCCACCCCTGCTCGCTCTCACTCTCAAAATAAAAAAAAATAAATCTTTAAAAAAAATTATGCTCTGGTATTGCTCATATTAATGAAATGAGAGATTTCACCAATATTTATAGAAGACTGGCTATGATTTAGTTAAAATGCATGTAATTTGTCAGGAACAATGGGTTTGAATTCCTGCTCTATAACTTACTAATTTCGTGAACCTGGGAAAGTTAACTGATCTCCTGGAGCTGTCTTCTCACCTTTAAAATGGACATATCAAGACAGACACCACAGGGTTGCTGTGAGAATTAAATGCGGTATTATGGGTATAAAGTGCCTCATTCAGTATCCAGTACCTGAGAGCTCCTCAACAAGTGGTGGCTCTCACCACCTCATTCCAAAGAGGAAAATATATTAAGAGTTCTGTATCTCTTATGATACCAGAAACCAAGGAAATGTAAGTAACAGCCATGTTCTTTTGGAAACCAAAAAGGTTAAAAACAATGTATCACTGTGTAAGGCTCAGCTTTGACGTTTTCCTAAACCCTTAATAAGACAGTGGTCCTTAAAGGGACAAGCTATTAGGTATTGTGATGGACACAACTTATTAGCTTATTGAGGAAAATTAGCCACAAGTGTATGGGGAAATAAAGATGTATACAATCTTTCTAATTATTCAAAGGATGTTCATAAATAGCCAAAAATTTTACCTCCTGACTACAAATTCAGAAGATTTAGGCCAAAAGTCAATGGAAGATACAGATAACTGCCTAAAAACACCTCTTGTAGGCAGAACAGAAGGCCCCCAAAGACGTCCACAGTGTAGTCCCCAGAATCTATGAATGTTGCCTCATGTGGCAAAAGGGATTTTGCCGGATGTAATTACATTAAGGAACTTGAAATGAGATTATGCTGGATTGCCTGGGTGGGCCCACTGTACTCACAAGGGTCCTTAAATGTGAAGAGGGAGGCAGAAGAATCAAAGGAGATCTGGGATAGTAGCAGGGGCTGGAGGCCCTTGCTGGCTGGGGGCCCAGCACCAAGGAGTGAGGGCGCCCTCTAGAGGCTGAAAGGCAAAGAACCCGACCCGCCCCTAAATCCTCCAGCCCTGCTGACACCTCAGATTTTAGCCCATGAGACCCACGTTGAGCTTCTAACCTCCCCAACTATCTTTGCGTTGTTTTAAGCCACCAAGTCTGTGGCAATTTTTCAGAAGCAATAGGAAACTAATACACACTATCTTGGCTGTTTCGGGTTAATGTGCAGTTTTGGTGAGAACATACTGAACAAAATTGTTAACAAATTCTGTGATGTTCCGTCTGTGTGTTCTCAGTGTACCATAAGGTAATTTCAAAAGAAATGAAAGGGAAAAAAATGTAATAGATAAATGGAAGGCAGAGTTACTATAGCCTACTTGGAAGTACTAAAACCACAAACTTTATGGAACGTATAGCTGCAAACAGTTCCACACAAAGATACAAAGAAGGGTAATAAAAAACTACAAGAAGTCCTAATGTATTTCTCTATGAGCTGGGAAGATGGTCAGTGGATTATTAACTGTGCTTAAAGCCCACCTCTCCTCATACAGAATATCAGTCTAAAAAGCCACATTTACAGTTTCTCGAGCGAAAGAAAGACGAAAAAAGGCATACATTTGGCAAAGAATGTCTCATAAGCAAACAGATCTATAATGTTGGTGTCACTTCTCAGTATCTACCAAAATTTTTATGTAGGATTAGCTGAAGTATATATAAGTTACAGTACATTTTTCTCTGAAATAGGCCAGATGGTCAGAAAGCTATAGACCTATTGCCTCCCCTGCTGAGTTTCTCCACTCCCCTTGAAGTGCTTTCCTTGGACTTCAGTACCACCAGCTTATGTTGAGGGACATTACACGGTAGAGCTATATGAGGCTTCTTGCTGTCTTTGTGTCATTGAGCGTGTTACTCGTTGCATTATATAGAATTCCCTCGGTGAGAACCCCTGTATACATTCATGCCTCAAAGTCTCAGTACCAGAAACAGGTAAGCTATTTCTAAGCAGAGGGTGGTTCTTTTTACCTCTTATGGAAATATAACATATATGACATTATACATTTGTCAAAAACCAAATACAACATAAAGAGCAAACCCTAATATAAATGATGGACTTTAGTTACGGCATCACTACTGGTTCCTCACCTGTAACAAAGGCAAGCTGTTAATAATAGGGGAAACTGGGGGAGAAAGGGTACAGGAGAACTCTCTGTACTTCCTGTTTAACTTCTCTGTGAAGCTAAGATTGCTCTAAAATATAAAGTCTATCTAAAATATCTATACAACAGGGAGCCTGGGTGGCTTAGTCGTTAAGCATCTGCCTTCGGCTCAGGTCATGATCCCGGGGTCCTGGGATCCAACTCCGCATTGGGCTCCTTGCTCATCCGGGAGCCGGCTTCTCCCTCTCCCTCTGCCGCCCCCCTACTTGTGCTCTCTCGCTCAAGCGTGTTCTCTCTCTCTCAAATAAATAAATAAAATCTTTAAAAATAAATAAATAAAAATAAACTATCTATACAACAAAGCGCACACATCTGCAGAGCAGGGGATTCAGCAGGGGTGGTAGCAGCAGTTTTTCAATCTCTGAATCCTCACCTGAAACCAGACAGACAGGGGCACCTGGGGGGTGCAGTCAGTGAATCGTCAGCTCTTGATCTCAGCTCAAGTCTTGATCTCAGGATCGTGAGTTCAAGCCTCGCATTGGGCTCCACTTTAAAAAAAAAAAAAAAATCAGACAAGCAAGTGGATAGCAAAACCAAAACCTCATGGACATTCACCGTGTGGGGAGGAACTTCTGGCCCTTTCCAGGTCCCTCTGGCTGGACTAAGGATCAAACTGACATGAGACAGGTTAACAGGAGAAAATCAAATTTAAGTTCATATCTACAGGGAATCCACACAGACATGGAAATTCCAAAGACAGTCAGGCAGAATGTGGTATATAGTAGTCCTGAGCTAAGGACCAGGGAGTAGGTCCTGGGACTTCAAAGGGAAGGAATGCAATTCACAGGAAGCTGAAAAAGAGTACATGTTTGGTAAACACACATGTGCTGGGCCACTCAGAAACAATGGGACACAGAGGACTTTGATCAAACAGGCCTTGCTAGGTTCCTCCCTGCCTACCAGACCTAGTTCATGGTAAATGTAGTTATCCATGGTGATAGCTCTTTTCTGGAGCAGGTTCTCTATCTCAGTTCTTCTCAGGTAGATGTGGGGGAGGTGGAGAGCTTTTCCTGAATCTGCTGGGGTTTGATTGCTTTTTAACTTCAAATAATCTTCATGCCAAAGTGACCCGTTTTGGGGTGGCCTGCCTTTGGACCCTCTAATGTAAAAGTAGATGGCAGAATATCCCCATGAACCCCAAAATAAAAGCAAGTAGAGAAAAATCAACAGTCACAAAACCCACACAGTATCAGCATCAGTATGGGAAGAAGAAGGAAGAAATGGAGGCAGTGTCTAATGGACCCAAGAACAGGAAAACTTCAAAACAGCAACAGACCCAGAAGGCCCAGCTGAAACTGGGAGAGATTCTGCTCTCTCAGTACTAGGTGAGTGCAAGGAGCCCTCAGTAAAGACCAAGGAGGCTGAGCAGTCTGGCCCCTATGAACTATCAGTACCCATCTCCCAGGGTGTCCTTCCAGCACAGAGAGGAGGCAAAGGTCCTGATCAGGGAGGAGAACAGAGTCCAGAAATCTCAGAAAGCAGGCTCCATGTTTTTAACATTACACCAAACAGCAGAGGGACCTCTGTGAAGTTGGAAACACTTTCTGACCTCATTCTAAAAGTTCAAGAAAACTACTTTCATATAAAAGTGAGCAACAAAAGAGGACTTAGGTTGAATCATCACAGTTTTTATAACACTAATTTTTTTTTTTTTAAGATTTTATTTATTTATTTGACAGAGAGAGACACAGCGAGAGAGGGAACACAAGCAGGGGGAGTGGGGGAGGGAGAAACAGGCTCCCCGCTGAGCAGGGAGCCCAATGTGGGGCTCGATCCCAGGACCCTGGGATCATGACCTGAGCCAAAGGCAGACGCTTAACGACTGAGCCACCCAGGCGCCCCTAACACTAATTTTAAAAAAGAGTTAAGGAACAGAATAATATTGGGGCGCCTGGGAGGCTCAGTCGTAAAGCGTCGGCTCAATGGGTTTATACAAATGGACATATACATGTAACCACTGTCTGTTTCAAGAATTGGAACATTACCAGCATCTTTGTAGGTTCCCATGTGCCCCTTCCTTATCAATAAACCCTTCCCTAAAGATAACACAATTTTGACTTCTATCATTTTAAATTAGTTTTGCCTGGTTTTGAAGGTTGTACAAATGAAACTTCAACCTACTCTTGTGTGCCTGGCTTTTTTTTCACTCAATATTGTTTATGAGGTTCACCAGGCTGTTGTGGGAGGCACGGTCCATTCTTTATCAATATATTAAAGAAGTTGTATGAGTTTACCACAGCTTATCTGTTCTACTGCTGATGGGTATGGAGCGGCTTCCACTTCGGTACTATTATAAAAGAAGCTACTCTGGACATTCTTTTCCTTGTTTCTTTCACTCACTTCTGTTGGGTGTAAGCCTAGGAGTGGAACCGCTGGGTCATAGAGAATGCATATGTTCAGCCTCAGCAGATACTATCCAACAGTTTTCCAAAGTGGTTTTTATCAATTTATACTCTTACTAGCAAAGAATGAGAATTCCAGTTGCTCCTCCAAATCTTGGTATAAATAAAAACTTTGGTATTGTCAGGGGTTTTTTAGTACCCATTCTGATAGGTGTATATTGGTTAACTTGCATTCCCCTAATGACTAATAAAACTGAGTACCCTTTCATTTGCTTATTGACCACTGGATATCCTCTTTTCTGATGTACTTGATTGAGTCACGAGCCCGTGCGTGTGTGTGTGTGTGTGTGTGTGTGTGTGTGTTAGACTTTTCCTTATTGATGTATAGGTGTTCTTTAATTACATAAAGCCAGGGCGCCTGGATGGCTCAGTCTTTAAGTGACTGCCTTTGGATCGGGTCCGGGATCAGGCTCCCCACTCAGCGGGTAGTCCACTTCTCCCTCTGCCCCTCCCTTCTGCTCATGCTCTCTCTCACACACACAAAAATAAATAAGTAAAATCTTTTAAAAAATAGTAATTACAGGGGCGCCTGGGTGGTTCAGTCGTTAGGCGTCTGCCTTCGGCTCAGGTCATGATCCCAGAGTCCTGGGATCAAGCCCCGCATCGGGCTCCCTGCTCATGTTCCCTCTCTCGCTGTGTCTGTCTCTGTCAAATAAATAAATAAAATCTTTCAAAAAAAATAATAATTACATAAAGCCCTTCGTCAGATGCATTTTTACAAGTATCTTCTCCTCTGAGGCTTGCCTTTTTACTCTCTTATGGTATCTTTTGATTAATATAAGTTCTTAACTATAATTAAGTCCAATTTGTCAATATATTTCATTTATGGTTAGAGATTTTTGTATCTTGTTAAGAAATACTGTTTCTACTTTAAGGTCTTAAACATCTTCCTCTATGTTCTCCAAGTTTTATTGTTTTACCTTTCCTGTTTATGTCTATAATCCATCTGGAATTGATTTTTTTTTATTTTTAAAAATTTAAAAAAATAAAAGATATTTATATGAGAGAGCATGCAAGCATGAGTCAGGGGGAGGGGCAGGGGAAAAGGGAGGGGCAAACTCCCCACTAAGCAGGGAGCCCAACTCAGGCCCTGATCCCAGGACCCTGAGATCATAACCTGAGCTGAAGACAGACACTTAACTTACTGAGCCACCCAGGCGCCCCCATCTGGAACTGATTTTTGTGCATGGCGTGAAAGAGGGTCAAGGCTCATCTCTTGCCATCAGCTATCCAATGGATCCAGCACCATTTGTTAAAAAGAACGTATTTTCCCTGCTCTGCTGCAATGACACGTTGGTTGTAAATCAGGTGTCCATATATGTGTGGGTCTGTATCTTCATGCTCTTTTCTATTCCATGGATCTGTTTGTCTATCTCAAACCTAATGCATCCAAAGCTGAATTCCTGATCTTCCCCCTAAAACCCATTCCTCTTATATGCCTTGTCTCAGCTGCTGGCAGTTCCATACTTCCAATGCCCAGGCCAAAATCCTTGGTCTCATCCTGACTCCTTTATTTCTCTCACACTCCACTTGCAATCCATCAGCAAATCGTGTTGCCTTTACCTTCAAAATAGATCTAGAGTCACTACCTCCATCACTCCCTCCCTGGTCCAAGCCACCATCCTCTCTAATCTAGATTACTGCATTAACTTCCTAACTGGTCTCCTTGACTAGTGGTAACTGGTTGGATGTGAGGCATGAGATAGAAGGAAGACTCAGAATGCCATCTAGGTTTCTGGGCATGAATGATGGAAACTGATTTCCAAATGGGCTAGGGAAGAAATTGGTTTGGGGGCAGAGGGAAGAAAGGACCCCCTCCTGTCAACTGTCCACCTAGTGGCCAGGGTAATGCTGTTAAGTTAGCACATCATGCCCCTGCTCTACACAAAAGCCTCCAGTGGTGCCCCATTTTGCTCAGAGTAAGAGCCAAAGTCTTTACGATGACCTACAAAGCTCTGTGTAATTTGGCTTCCATTAGCTCTTTCCATATAATATTCTCCTTCACTCATTTTTTTGCGGCCACAGTGGCCTCTTTGTTATTCCTTGAAAAACCAGGCAAATTCCTGCCTCAGGGTAGTTGCATTTGTCCTTTTCCCGAAACCTCCCTTATTTTTACCAAGTCTTTGCTCAAATGTCATGTTTTCAGGGATCCTTTCCCTGATTACCCCCATTCTAGTACTCCCTCTCTGCTTTTCCTGCTTTATTTTTTTCCTTAGTTCTGATCACCTTCTAACTCTGAAGTCAACAAAAGCAATGTGTTGAGAAAGACCAAGCCAGCACTCTTTAATGAAAACCATATGGTAAAGGAATGAATCATAACATCCATAAAGACTCTTAAAAATTTTTTGTATATTTTGTTCACTGCTATATCCCCTGCACTTAGAAGAGAACCTAATACATAGATATTCAATAAACGTTTGATTAAATAAATTCAACAAGTGAATCAATGAACCAAACTTGTCTTAAAGACCTCCAACATTTAACGGCTTAGTCAAGGAAGATTAACCTTCAAAGGAGACTGAGAAGGAACAACCCAGAAGATGGAAAAAAAAACTGAGAGTCTCTCATGCCCCAGACACAAAGGGGAATTTCCTGAGTGCTACAGTGTCTTTTGTTATTCATAATAGGCCCTTTCAACCATACCTGAGTGTAAGCTAGTGAAGTGACTCAAGACAGAGCCCCTAGGTATCTTCAGGACTGCAGAGCCAACCATGGGACTGGAGGGTTGGAACTTTCAGTCCCACCTCTAGACCTCTGGAGAAGAGAAAGGGGCTGGAAATTGAGTTCAAACACCAGTGGCCTGTGATTTAACCAATCATGCCTACATAATGAAATCTCAATTTTAAAAAAACAGGGTTTGGGGGAAATTCCAGGTTGGTAAACCTGAGGTGCTGGGTGGGTGGCATGCTCAGAGAGGCATGGAAGCTCTGCATCACCCCCTCCACCCACACACCTTCCTTGGATTTGGCTGTCCCTAAGTTACACCTTTTACGATAAAATTGTTATGGTAAGTATGTGATTTCCTGAGTTCTGTGAATCATTGAACTCAGTGGGGAGAGGGGTGTGAGAACATCTGAATTTTTAGT